TTTCATAATTAACTCTACGAAGCTAACTAAAATAATTCACACCAGCTTGCTGGGACACTCTAGATATTTAAAATAATATAACTGAAATTTCTCTTATTTCTTATGTTTATATGCAAAAATAATACATGAAACAATTTAGTGCTTGGGATTTAAAAGGAATCTTTTTTCCATTTTGATTTATAAAGGTCAACACTAAAATAACTGCTGAGCAATACATAATTAGGAGATATTTACATAAAAAAAGTTCTCCTGGTTTTTTAAATCTTTGGCAGGGGGACAAATATTTGTCTCTTATTGCCAAACCCTCCCACAATACACAATATTGGTCACATCCTTAACTCCTAGGAACAACATGGGTTCTGGGGAGTGGAAAGCAAATTAATTTCCCCCTGTAGAGGAATGAGGTGTATGAAACCACAAGAATGGCAGTTTTGCAGAGCTGTTGGATATCACACTCAGTCAGGCTCACCTGTCCCCAGAGACGAACTCTGAACCCCAAGAGATGTCACCAAGGTATATGCATCTACCTGATGGCTGCGCAGCACTGCAGCAGGCCATGCACACAACCTGAACATCTGCAGCGTCACCAAAGGCCTCTTTACATTTGCTGCTATGCAGAGGAGCATAACTACAGCAGGAGATTCTGCTGGGTGCTTGGCAATACACTTTGTGCATCTGAGTTTGGAAACTGTCTCCAACATCTTCAGATGTTTAGCTTACTGTAGGGAACAGCCAACACACTAAAAGAGAACTAGAACTAGATTGAAATAAGTAAAAATACAAGTTATCTAATCAGAGATTTTTTTCATTCTTTAATGCTTACTGTTATTTATGTGTGTATAGCTGGATTACTCACAGATTTCTACCAGCTTCTGCCCACAGAAAGCGCAGTGGTGGGAAAAACCTGTTCCATGCCAGATGTAAAAAATGCCTAGTGTAAATGAAGATCAGGTCTATATATTTTGTCACATATACATAAAGTCCACACAGTCTGAACTACATTTGCTCTTATATTCAATCACCTGGCAGTTACTTTGCATTGCATGGCAGGGCCTAATTGAGAGCAGGCATGGACAGAGAAACCAAAACACCATCTATAATGAATTGTTCAGAGTCCTTTTTCCTTCCAAAAGAAGGAAGAATAGAAAACTCTGTGCCCACAACCCTTTCTACAGCATTATAATGTATTAGATATTATACATAACCTTCACTAATCCAAGGAGTTCTCACCTATTAATAACTGAGATCCTTTCAAGACTTTCCAACTCAAACTTTAAAAACTGAAGTTTAACATCAGACCGTGCACGACTTGCTGGTCTGTTTTATCCTCTTTAGACTCACGAAGGTAGTGCTTTTATGTTCACAATTTTCCCTCCTTGGACATTTATTTGGTTGTACGTTTAGATATAGCACCACTGATTGCTGTGCACTGCCCACCTCAGCACTGTTGGGTACAGCACGCAGTGATCCGCTTGATATTGTTGTTAATACTGGCTCAAGGCTACAGCAAAAGGAGTTGAAATTGCCTGGAAAAAAAATGGCCTCTTGGGTGTACAGCTATGCTCTGCGTGACTTTTGCACATGTTAAGTACGGTACTAAATGGAAGTGCTCACGAAATACCAAAAAGATGATGCACCAGGGAGAAGGTCTCAGGGTCATACACTGCTGATGTTCATTGCAGGTATATTTTATTATAGTTTATAATATTATTATTTATACTGAGGCAACCAGTAACTGAAGTCGTTTAGACTGAAAGAGATTTGCAACAGCGGGCCATGGAAACCAGAGGTGGAGAAGGTCATGAAGACCACCTTTTTGTCAACACACAAGCAATGCTCCTGCACTGGGCTGAAAAGTCATGAGGAAAACCCAGGTCATTTTTCAGAGGCAGCTGAGGCTACTTGCCTCTCATCATCAGAGCACTCTGTTTCATTAACTTTGGATACATTCTGTGCTGCACAGCAGTTCTCCGCTGCCCCATGTTTCATGTGTATATAAAATACATAAAGTGCATAAAAGTATAATTCAGTCTGAACACACCTAGAGGAGCCACACAATCAATGTGGGAGCACATAGTTTCAGGAACTCAAAACCCAGGGAAAAAAGCTGTGTGTGCTGAAAAGTTAGCAGCAGTATATATTGTTGTGCCAGGAAGGTTTTTGCTGACCAGTGAGATAAAATAAGGATGGCGAAGACAGGAAGGGAAAATTCCCTGTCTTGTGTGTGTTTATAGAAGCACACCACTCCGTGTGGTAATCAGCTCTGTGGCAAAGGGAAGATTTTAGCAAAGGTGATGGAAACTAGATGGCCCATGGGTGCTAGCAAACTGGACTTTCATTCCACCTGTAGAATATTTTTTAGCTGAATTTCTGCTCTCGAACTGGTCTCCTTAACATGCTCACCTGCCTAAGCCAGTGTGCGTTGCAGTGTTGGTTAGCAGTCTTGCAATAGCCAAGCCTGCCCCAGGGTAAGGATTACATGGCAGATCAGAAGTTGTGAAGGTTGGAAAAGCCTGGCGTGATAAGCACCTTGAGCAATGACTCGCACGAACCAGAGCCAAACCAGTTTCTGGAATGCCAGAACACTAAGTTCAAAAGGAAAAGTTTATAATGAATTTCATTATAGTTTGACTCAAGGTAAATACTTGATTAAAGAAGACATTACAGTCTGTAAGCTCTCTAATTTTCTTCACACACACTAATCATTCCAGCTTCCTACTACACTAGTACATACTAATTTTCAGTTTTATAGATTTCAGTGAATTCTTAAACATCATTTACTTTTTCCTCACACACACTATTTATTTTTATTCATACAGGCATCCTACAAAAACTGAAGAAACACTGCATTATATTGTAATAGCAGTCAGACATACACCCAAAGAGACAAAATGTATTCCAATAATTTAGCTTCTGTGACAAAGTGGTTAAGTAGGCAAGAAATATGGTCCCATGGTTAGGGTAGCAGCATAGACTTAGAAAAATGGATTTGAGACTGTTTTACCACTGATTTCCCATTTTACTTTGCGTAAGTCACTTAATTGCTGACCCTTAAACAACTTGTAATTTTTTATCCTGTGTAAAGAAAGACACCCAAATGCACTTGAAGGACCAGGCTCCCTATACCTCAGCTCCTACAAAAGGAGCTTAACAGCACATTCCTACCTCCACATTGTGGTGTTCTTCCCAGACATCAGAAGGGAAGAAGGAGAAATTAAGTTTTCCATTTACCCCCAACAACATGCAGAGCAAACTCCTCCTGCAACCAGCCCTCGCCCACGTGGCGTGGGAGGCTGCGTCACACCCACTCTGGGCTTCACAAGCTTGTGTCTTTCTGGTCATGCTGAGATCGCTAGCGAAGATGGGAGCTATTGCTGATACAGGCATCTGTGCTCTTCAAATTGTACAGAAAGTGTCATTTATTTTACACGGAACATCAAATGGGCATTGAATGCTGATGAAGTGGGTTTTTATTACCAATCTGTGCTTCCGGGTAGGGAATCAAAAATGCTAAAACATCTAAGTGCTCCAGAACAAATTTCAACAGTTGTTGCCTTCGGGACCATCTCACAGATGATATAAGATAATATTGCTTCCCAATTTCTATTTTTATCTTCACAAGTACAGGATCTGACCTAAAAATTTCCTATGAGGGTATTTATGCTACCTGCAAGAGATTGTTTTAATCAAGATATGCACGCATATTTCTTGGAAAGATTATCTTGCATTACGCTGTCAAAACATAGTTATTACACAGCATTGGAACTCACATGGAGAGCACCCCTAGTCAGGACACATGGAGGTAGGAACTGCCTGACAGTCATTTAGGGGGTGGCAGTTTTGGAACATGTTTTAGCAACAAGGCAGGGAGAAATCACAACATACAATACATTTTCACGGTTTACCTTTAAAATTCACATGCAGTGTGCCATAAAACTAACTCAGTACATCAGAGCTCTTCATGTAAAACTGAAAAACCCCAGGTGTCCATGCTGATGCTTAAGGCAGATGAGAGGTAAAATCAACTTCTAAACTCCCAGCCAGATCTGCTGTCAAAAACCACCTCTGGAAATCTTTGCTGCCCATGCAACTGGCATGCTCCAGAGCCCATGCTAGCCAGGGTCTGGATGCCCAACGGCCTCTCCTGCCCTCCGGTGCCCCATCTCAGGCTCTGCAGACCCAGGCGGCCTCAGGGCTATTGCTGACAAAGGGGTCAACTCTTGGCTGTCCACTCCAGCCTCATGTTTGATGGTCTCAGACCCAGGACCAAGATTATTACGCAACCCCTTGCTGTTCCCTGCAGTGCCACTGGGTATTCCGGAACACGGGAACATGGGATTTAAGGTGGAGAGGGCCTCGTAAGGCGCTGGATCTAGTTCTGTGCTACTGCAAATAAATATTTCCTATGGTTCTGAGGCAGGTGACCTGTAAGGGTAAAATCGTGTTAGTAGGAACACACCAACGTCCATCGGTTGTGGATGTGCCTTTAAGAAGCGGAGAAAATTGAGATTTAAGATCAAAATAGAAAGTCCATGGTGCTTTCCTCTACATAAAACAAATTCAATAAAAACAAACATCCAGCTGAAAGGCAAGCCAGCTTGATACAATCACAGTAAATTAGAACTCCTTTAAGGCAATGGATGGTGTATTTTCTTCCTCAGAATTAGGCATTTCAAATATTGACAGACCTAGTAAGGCACAATCAATATATCAATTCCTTTGTGACCTATTAATTATATATATTGCTGATGAATAATCATTTAATTAGCATAATGGGAGGCTTCAGTGAAAAGGCTGTCTACCAAGGGTAGTAGACCTAAAAATAGCAATAGCTTTTCAACCATGAGGCTTTGCATGAAAATGCTGGTCCTAACACTTGTTACACATCGCTCGGCCAATAGAAAGCTTTGCTAATAAATGCTTTCCCCTTTATCGTAGCAGAGCTGCCATACGGAATTTGTTCCTCTGAGGCAGGGTGACAAGGGTTGGGTATGGATTACCTGAATCAGTTCATCGAGCTCTGTTGCATTCACACAGGAATGCTGAGATACGAACGTCTGCTTCTGAATCACAATGGTGGTTTTCAGGGAGGTCTCATGAGGTTGCTCCAGGGCTTTAAAGACTGTTGCTCCAATTATTAAATACACGACTACCACCAGAAAAATTGTTGAGACTGTCTTCCATTTCATAACATTAATAGCCGAATCACTTTCCTCCCGTGAAGAGAGCACGGTAGGCTTGGTGGAAAATGATAATCTTGGTTTGGAGTTCTGAGTGGCCGATTTGGGATCCAGCAAGTCAGGTGCCGCCACTGGCAAAACAGAAAAAGAAAGTTAACGTTTGCAGCTCCGCTCAGATTCCATCAACAGAACTTCTTGCCAAGAGGTTACAGAAATTCTGTTGCTCCCAGCTGGAACTCTTAAACTGCTGACCCTTTCACAGAAACCCCATGCCACGTTACGACGAAGCTGCTGCTCTCAGTAGTATTTTCCACTTTACACACGTTTCCAACATTTTCTGTGTACGTCTGTCCCCTTCTGCTACTCGATCATTTCAAAAGCACAGATTTCCCCCGCGCTCTTGCCTTTCAGTCGGCGTGAGGTGGTACTTTGCTGCAGGGATTCTTTACACCCACCACTCTCTTCAGCACCGCTACGCGGCTTTCCAGCTGCGTTACCTCAGCATTACAGAGGTAGCAGAAAAGCCCGAATCCTTCTTTCTCTCACCCCCTTTGCCCTGTGCTCCGACAACTGCTCTCTGAGAACAGCTGCACGATCGCTTCCGAACTGCCCAGGCACGACCATAAAAACAATACATTGCTCATGGTACCGGTGTTCAGGCATCAATTGCCTATCGATTACGCCTTTCAGAAGATACCAGTAAAGCGTATGTGTACTTACTGGAAAAATCACCCATTTGTTACGGCGCGTATTGTTATTTACAGCTACAGAAACCCACGGGCTGGGGAATGAGGAGCTGAGCGGGTTGTCAAGTATCCCGATAACTCATGCGACTGCCGGCAACTACAGGGGCACTAACGAACGGCGATCCGCCACACCGAGTGCAGGTAGAGGTCCCCCGTGGGAAGATGGCCACGGCAGTTCACCCCCCGGGCTGTATTTAATCTGGTTTGAACC